TCTACTTAGTCCATCAATGAGTCAGAAAAAGCCAGACTCTTGTTAACAATGATCGAGATGGTGTTTCTAATAACAGAATTTTTTTTCAAAAAATCGGCCGGAAAATGGATTTTTGGTAGGCCTAATGTTGCGCGGGCCGGATCAAAATTGTTGGCAGGCAGGAGTTGGCCCGCGGGCTCTGTAGGTAATAAAATGACACAGCTATGGGAACAAAGGTGGCACCAAGCTATGCCATCATTTTTATGGCTAACTTTGAAAACATGATGTTATCGACTTTTGAATTAAAAGCATCATAATTTATTGTACATATTGATGATATATTTTTTATTTGGGAGTACGGTTTATAGGTAGTCTTAAATAATTTTCTAATTACTGTAATTCGTACCATTCGAACATTAAGTTCACCATGCATCATTCTAAGTACACTATTAATCTATTAATTTAGATATTATGTAACATTAGTACGCATAAAACCTACAGACAACAATCGATACCACGACTACAGAAACTCACACCTTATGAACCTTATTATAAACTATCGCTCATCTACAGTCAATGAATTAAACGAATCTGCTCATGTCCATCCGACTATATTAAACATTATATCTCTTCTCACTGACATGCTCATGTTAAGCAACTACGGTACCCATTAAGTGTAATAAAAACCCAGATTAAAAAAGCCTCACATATATCTCGCACTGATCTTCTCACATACAGACGTAAATATAATAATAATCGGTTACAGGTGTTCGACTATAGCCCGAACATCCTACAACTGCCTAAGAAAAAAAACAAAAAAAAAACCCTTCTCTGCCTCCAAGAAGACCCATCGATTAAATAATTATTTTTACAGCGCCCTCTACTCGCACGTAGGCAACCCCCCTAATTTATAGTCCACTTTAATCTCAACTCCCCTCCACTAAACCGATACATGGTAACAAACAATGTAACAGTTCTAGATGCCAATTATGCGACATCATCAATACTGACAGTTCCAGCTTATTCACTCCACCAGGGGCACAGATATAAGACACAAACTCAACTGCCCAGTATAAGTACACATTTTAATTCGCCTAATCACACCATCAATTGGATTGGATTTATTCGGTGTAAACACCGAGGATAGCCCACGAAAATCTAGAATCACCACCAGTAGGATCCTTCTGGTGGTGATTGGACAGTACACCGGGAGACAATCCCCTACTCTTTTCCGAAGAGTCAGTGTTCTTTAAAGTGCAGATAGGCAATAAATGCACACGGGACCAACGGCTTAAACGTCTCATCCGAAAGACGGTGCGCTATGTAACTTGTATTTCAGCCCTCTAGCTGAAACACAAGGAGAGGCAGCGATGGGAATTGAACCGGGGACCTAGATATTTCCACGGTTCAGCGCACACACAGTGGCTACCACCAGATTAGCCGACAGAGCTAAGCTGCTCTCTCGAATGACATCAGGGCCTATAATAATAGGTTGCAATTTTAAATAAACATAAGAACGACGTAATGCAGAAATTAAATGGATAATTCTATTAAAAACTCACATTAAGGGACTAAATAAGGACTTTACATGTGAGTACGCCTTCATACGCTATAATTCACTATGAATGCAGTATCTAACTATATAATGTTATATATTATTAAGAGCGATTTTAGCTCACAAAGAGCAGTCCTCTTAGGCCTCCTTAAGGAGTGCAAAAATCGTCCTTTTCGAGCGGATTCTTCCTTCCTCTCAGACCTGCAACGTAAATAAATCACACAACACACACATATATTATATATCTGAATTTTTCTTGGCCCATGTTGAGTTGCTGGAGAACAATATTGATTTTCGTGACTGCATGATGATATCTACTTCTTCCTCTGTTATAGTTGTGTATTTTTGGGCGTGTTGCATTGCATCACCTCCTCAATTATTTATAAAGCTACAATCACAACAAACGTAGAATTGAAGCATTACATCGGGCTCACAGATACCGCATTTAAAACCCGATACACAAATCATAAGCACACATTCAATGCACCAAAACACAGAAACAGCACAGAACTTTCAAAGTTCATATGGAAACTAAAAGACAGCAAAACGCAATACAATATCCAATGGTCCTTTATTGATAGCCTCATCCTACTCACCCAAAACAAAGCGATGCAATCTATGCAACGCAGAAAAGTTTCATATAATTTATGCAGACAAACAATCTACTTTGAACAAAAGACTCGAACTCCTTTCAAAATACAGACACCGTGCCAAATTCCTACTCAAAAACACATAATACCTACTTTGCATCTACACCGGCCCAACTCTACATATACACGTCAAATTTGAAATTCCCTTCACTCCTGAAGATTGCCTAGTGCATGAAACAGCCTGTAGAGTGAAATTACAAGTTCCGTATACATATATACGTATACATTCACGCATATACACACATACGTATATATATATATACGTATATATATACATATATATATATACGTATATATATACGTATATATATACATATATGTATATAAATATATATAGGCATATATAGGCCTATATACGGTATATATAGGCATATATATAGGCATATATAGGCCTATATATGTATGTATACAAAGACAAACGATTCTGAGGCCCCTAGACCTCGATATTTGGCATTTATGTATGCCTTGATCAAGGACACAACCGAATTGCACAGAAGAGAGGGATGTCCTACGCAGCTACTCACCTTCAACATATTCGCAATTAAAAATTGTAAATAAATAAAATAAATAAATAAGTAAAATAAATTGTTTCGTCAAAGCCAGCCAGCCACCGTGCGACAGTACCCTTCCTACATGACTCAACGTCAGCGTGCAGAAAGAGAGAGCAGGAGAAACGCGCGTGATTGATATCCAAAAGATTGCGCGCAATGTTTAACCATCATTGACAACGACGAACAATATCCAGTTTTAGCCAATCAAAACAGTCTATTCAATATCGCTCAAAATAATCGGGCTGTACTTTTGGTCGCTCTCGGTCAGAGCGAAAGCGGGAAACACGAAAGATTGAAATCTTTAGCTCTTTAGGAGTGACTTACAGTGTTTTGGTAACCTGGTGTAATAGGTACTGTAGTATTTAGTGACTCTATTGTCACCACGAGTGTTTGGGTTTCAATCCCTCGTTGTGCAATTGGGTTGTGTCATTGAGCAAGGCACTCTATCTGCATTGCTTCTTTCAACCCAGGAGTTGAAGTGGGTACCTAAGGAGGTTTAAGTGCAAAATGCGCTGATATTTCATGCAGCAAACTATGGAATTCCCCCTATTGTTATTGTTTGCAGGGATGCATGACGAGACTGTATTTTTATTTTATTTTATTTATTTCAACAATCTTTAATGAGGGCAGTCCATCCAACCGAAGCTGATCATTAGGGACCCTCAATACACATAGTAAAACAAAACAAAAGAGTATGAAACCAATTAATTAACAGTAAAATAAATGACAACCTTTCAATTCTTAATTTACATAATGAATTAATACAAAATTATATAAAAAACGTAATATAAATAGGCTAATTAAAATTAAATTACAATAAAAGATGTAAATTAATCATGCATGATTAAAAAAAAACAATTACAGTAGGCAAAATGAAAGTGATGACGTCACCACCGACTTGTAATTAATATTTAGGTAAGACTTTTCTAATATTGAAAGCAATGTAGGCCTAAAGAAACTTAGACAACTGGACTTACAACTGAGTATCATTGAATAATCATAGGAATTTATAGTTTTGATTTGACCTGATAAATGAAGAAGGATAAACTCTCTTATATTCGTCTTCTATTTCGTTTGCATCGCAGAGACAGCAAGTAATTAGACGATGATCTTCTTAATGTCTAAGTAAAATTGATGAGACCCGGTGCGGACCAAAGTTATACAATCTATTTGTAAATGCTAGTAGATTAACACCAAAAGCGGTATAGTACATCATATATATAATATACAAAAATATATATAATGATTTATTTCCAATGCATCATAAATATGTAAATTCGTTTTACATGCACACAATAAGTTATGCTGTGTGATTTATTGCTGGTTTAGTCGAAGAATTTCAATGTCCAATTCGGTCTTAGTATTTCGTTGGGCTTGAATTCGAAACTAGGACGAACTCTTCGAAGATCTTTCATTATCTTTACCACAAGCTTCGCGTCATCTAAAGCTCGGTGCAATTGTCCATCCATTGGAAGCCCTATGGAAAATATATTACCGTAATTAGTATGAATATTCCTGATGTAATTGTTGATATTAAAAACAAAACTCACATAAATTCGACGTTGACATATATCTAGATTCAAGTTACAATATCTTTTTGATTTAAACAAAATACAATATTATATCATCATACTTAGCTTCTCCATCATTTCAGTGATACTATTCGATCTCCCATCAGGCTTTCGCATGCGTGGCAAAACATACGTAAAATGTTTCTTTATGTTGCTGAAATTCCTGGCCCAGTTTGGAAATTCGAGCTTAGACAGTTTGCATTGATTTCGTATGTACTGGTTGCAATCAAAGATACTAAATAAGACAAAATAATATGTTAGGTTTTACAGTGTTTTATAGTAATTATAAATATGTTTAATATAGTATTATTATAATTGAACAATTAGCAATATATTGTTTATTTAAACCTCTTTTTAAATTATGTTGGTCACCTTCAATAAAAATAATGTAAAATGTAAAAAATCACGAATTAAACTCTACCCGTCCGTGATGAGAGTAAAGTTTTGTCTCCCTGGTTGAAGGTTTAATCCGTTTTCTCTCATCCATTTTACCATCCTTCCATATACGTCTGGAAATGTATCTGCTCCGTCGACATCTCTCTGTAACCAAATAAAAGACCTTATTATATGTTTTAAGAGCCGACGTTCTCATAGTTACCGTATATAAAAACAGTTCATAGCTAGCGTGGAATAAACCACAATGCGTAGGCTATCAGAGGACAAAGTAGTAGGCCTAACGTGGAATAATCAGCAAAAAATAAAGACATATTTAAACGGATAAAATGAAACAAAAATTTGAAACTGAAATACTAAATAAAAACTTTACATTTAACAATATACCTGACTGATTTTTGTGAGTTCTAGGCAGTATTGCGTCAGTGTGGCGTTAACCACTGGTTGAACATATTCTTGAAATTCACTAACCTGAAAATTAAACATGGCTTATAATAACACATGACTTGCTGCTATACAGTATTAGTAATGCTATTGAAAATATTATTGATTCATATTCAATTGGCTTGGGCCTGGTTGTCTATCCAATTGACTGATGGAGCCATTTATTTTTAGCCCCGCCAAATAAACCCAATGTATAGTCGTGTTGGTATGTGTAATCGTTTCTTACTTGGTTTAGGTTTGAATTAAGAATAATAGCTCCAATTTCGATTATTTCCGGCTGCCAGTCATGTTGTCGAGGATAAATACATGTCGCTTCCAAATCACAAACGAGGTAGTACTGTTGGTTACGATGCCCCATCTGATGAAAGGCAAAAGGTATGAAGAATTCAAGCCCACTGGTTCTTAATTTTTTGCTCAAAATATTTAAACCAAAGAGGACAATGTTATATTCGCCATTGGCAATGCTTGGCGCATGTGTGTGCCAATGAGATCCCATTAGCTAATAGAATGATGTTCTGCAACAGTATGTTCGTTAGGTGTGTGAAGACATGGTAACAAAAAATACTCTTACAAGAAAACGAACGACTGCTAATACCCTTATCATACAGAAAATCTTTCAACTTTTAACAATTAGTAACAAGATATTTTCTTCGTTTCACACACAGTAATCCAAACCATGCAAAATCTCGGGGGAATAGCGAAATGTCTACCTATCTTAGCGCGCGAAATTATTTTGTTTTGACGTGTTGCTTGATGGCAGTACGAACGCATGCGCACTGAATAACTGAACATCTCAGAAGAATAAACAGGCCTTGAGAGATCATGACAGAGGTCCCCTGCTATTTCTTAAAGATTTAAATATATTTGCCTTTACACTACACAAAACTGGTTACAACTTTTTACTAGTTTTACTATTTTCAAAATATTAGCAATGTGATAGGCCTGGGTGTAGTCGCAATTTAGACACACGTGAAAGTGGTTTGGCGTAGCAGGAACGGTTTGTTTCCCAACCTCGAGGTCTTGGTTTCAATCCCTTGCTGTGCATTTCGCTTGTGTCCTTGAGCAAGGCACTTTATCTGCATTTTTTTCTCTCTACCTTGGAATATAATGGTTACCTGGTGGAGTTGCCTGCTCCAGCGCTGATTACTAGCAGCAGCAACAATTATAACGAATGTAGGTAAGAATGGCCCCGGAAAAAATGGCCCAGGAAAAATGGCCCCGGTAAAAATGGCCCCAGTAAAAATGGACCCGAATGACAAGTAGGTAAAAATGGCCCCAATGACAAAAATTCAGTAATAGAAATGATATTTTTTTAAAATCTTCAAATATTTAAATACGGTAATAAGCAAGAATTGAATCAATAACAAATACAGTTACACAACAGATGCAAATGTACTGAGAGATTATCAGAAAACAACGGCCATTGAACATTTTTTGATAGTTGAAATAAGTTTTAAAAACGTTATTCCACTAACAAAGTAGAGGAATGACATACATACCGGTACAGTACTTCAACTACCAAAATATGCAACTCATAGATAACCACAAAATTCACTTTTGTTAAGTATCAAATGAAATAACTTTAAATGTTATAAACAGTGCAAATAAACAGTAGTTAAAGCATGTGGATCAATTGTGTGTTTGAATGACAGGTTCATGTATTTATCTTTGAATATTTTATCATTGAATATGTAATTTCTGCAAAAAGTAAAATGTAAATGGCATTTTATTTGATGTTAGATTTCTTTTAAAAACTAAATTATTTCCGTTTTAAAAAATGCATATAATGATTTTTAAAAAATCAGTTTTAATACAGAATTTTATTATTGGGGCCATTTTTACCTACCTGTCATTTGGGGCCATTTTTACCGGGGCCATTTTTACCGGGGCCATTTTTTCCGGGTCCAT